CCGCTCCAGACCCGCGGCTCCTTTTGCCATCCCCGACTTCTCCGCCGTTTCTGGACCGAACCCAAAACTTCCCGTCGGAAGGCAGCAGACAAAGGAGCGGCCCTTCGCCCGCCCCCCCCCCTCACAGCTCACCGGGGCCGGAACCCCTCCGAGCCCCCGCAGCCCTCAGCTCAGCACGGCGGGCCTCACCCCAGGCCCCGCAGCTCACCGGTGCGCTTCCCTGCCCGCCATCCCCACTTCCCCCGCTCCTCTCCATCTCCCCCCCCTCAGCGGGACGCGCGGCGCTGAAGCAGCGATGCCGGGCGGAGTGGCGGCCCGCGCGGCGATGGAGGGACGGGAGGAAGCGGTTGTGGCGCAGCTCGGTCCCGCCGACCCCGCTCCCGGCCTCTGCTCTCGGCCCACCGCCCCACCGCACTCACTCGCCGCTGCGCGGCCGCCTCGAAACGCGTCCCCAGCGCAGACGGAGCGCGGCCGCAGACGCGCACCAGGCAGCCCCGCAGCGCCCTCCCCCTCCCGCCGGCGTTCTCCCCTTATAAAAACGCCCGCCCACCCTGTCGGCCGCGAGTGGCGTCACCGCCGACCAATCGCCATTCGCTGGCACATAGCAACAACCCGCCGATTGGTTAGATACGGCCGCAGCCCATTTTTTCCTCACCAATCGGAGCGCGGGGCAGAGGGCCGCTCCCGCCCCCCCCCGTCCGTCTCCGCCACACACAGACGGACGCACGCAGCGCTCCCCCCGCCCCGCCGCCGTCGGGCTCGCGCAGGCAGCAGCTGGGCGGCGGGAGCCAATGGGAGCGGCGCTGGCCGTGCCGGCGTGCAGCGCGGAGGGGGAATAACAAACAGTGCCGCTTCCTCTTAAAGGCGCAGGCACACGGGCTCCTCCCAACAGCCCTGAGGCCTTTTAATACAGATCGGTGCCTGATCCGGGTTAACGTGATAAACCTGGAAAAGGGCAATTATTCAGGAGACGTGACGCTGCCCCCTCTGAAAAGACGTGCCTTTAATTAATGTTGCTATTTGATGTACCACGGCAGCACTGAGATGGGAAAAAGCACCAAATCCCTCCGGTTAACTCATGACTTTTGGTGCTGCACAGTACTTAAATCGGTCGCCATAAGATCTGTTAACAGTCTTCTGTCAGCGCTCACAAATTCTGTTTGCAGCTGATGCCGCCGGACTTGCGAATCGAGATTCTTCATTCGAGTAAGCCTCAGCTTCTTCAGTTATACAACGAAGGCACCGCAAACCTTTTCAGACAGCTCAAAGCAACAGCTTCAGGTACGGCAGATCAAAGAAAGACGCTTTCAGCTGTCAGCAGCGAAAGGTTTTTCCCCACTCGCAGCACCAACGAACACACAGGCGCTGCTCCCCCTACGCCGCACCCTCCGTAACCAGCGCGGAGCCGCCAGCAGCTGCCCGGTCCCGGTGGGCTCCCGCGGGGCTGCAGCGCCTCCTGGCGGTCTCCAGCAGTACGACAGGGACGGGTGGGAGCGCTGGGACACGAGGAGCAGCCCGCAGCCGGCGGGGAAGCCGCCTCCCGTCGGCCTGCCCAAATTCTTTCCTAGTTACTAACTGCTGTTGCTTACAAAAAGCCTGCTTCGCCTCTTAGCTAATACAGAACCTCGAGGCTCTACGCTTGACCTTAATACCCAGCGCTAGATGTAAATCAATGGCAACCCAGCAGCAAAGCTGTAGCTGTACTTGGAGGAGCAGAGGAAATATTCATTTGCTTACCATGAGGAAAAGCACTTCGGCATCAGTGCTGTGCTTATAGCAGGCCATCACCTAAGGACACACAACCTGCACAGAAGTTTGCACTCACGATGCTATCCAGCAACACCAAACACATTCAAAACACAGCTGGTTATTTGCCACCAGCTCACCAGCAGCTCTCTCACCTGTTAGAGGCTTTTAATACCCCATAATATGCTGATCACATTTTTTTTTTTCTCCATTTATGATCAAGTTTATCTTCTACTGCTTCTGTCTTCAAATGAACTGTAGATAAATCGAGTAGGAACTGATTTCAGAGGTTTGTTTCTGAAGGCTCTGCACACAGAAGACAGGCTTACCTCCTTTGCAGGCTTTCTTTAGCCACACATACTGGCAGATGCTGAGGTATGGGAAAGCCAATATAAGTGCCAAAAGTTTCCAAAGAGTTCAATGTATATAAGAGAATTCATTTTCTGAGCATCCATCCAAAGGCCACCATTAAGAAGTTTGTAGTAAACAACGTAGTAAACAACTACAACAATGTAGTATTCTAAGCACAGCTTCATAACAGAAATCACAGAAAGAATTCATAAAGAAGTAGTATTTAGTTGTAGATCTTTTATGAGCAAAGATATCTGAATGTGTCACATTTCAAGAGCATCAATCTTTACTTACAAGAAAAGAAAAAATATATATATCAGTTCACAGATTTTCAGCTAGAGGTCCAAAACTGTTTCTGCAGATCAAAAGTGCATGGAATACATGCATCATCCTTCATACATCACGTATTTTGCAAAAGATTGAGAACACGGTACGTATTAAACAATACTTAGAGTTAAAATTACCCAAAGGGAAAAAAAAAAATCTCTCCTGGGAGACAGAGATTAACTGAACATCCTGCTGGACGGCTGAGCAAGACCTCAACAAGTGGTTTTCTGTCCAAGTGGTTTTGAAATCAAGCGGCAGGTTATGGAACATTCAAACAAAGCAATTTGGAACAACTCCCTCAATTCCATGTTGTTTTGTTACAGATAGTTTCTGTGGCCTATTGTGCACTGGAGCTCAGAGCCATGCTTTCTTCCACACAATGCTGTCTGCCTCAAGAGATCAAACTTTAGCTCCTTTACTGTGGTCCAAACGAGTGACTGAAGGAATTCAGCAGTTTTTTCAGCACTCCTTTCCATAAATCTTACTTAAACTTCAGGTATCAAGTAGCAGATTTATCAAAGAGAGCTCACGTATGAACAGCACAGTCAAAAGCTACAGCAGACGTAGGAAGAGCAGTGGTTGAACAATGTGTTGAGCATCTTTGAAGGCACAAGTTCCAACACCGCAGCTGCAGCAAAACAGGTAGCTTATAATGTAAAAATAAAGTCCATTTTAATAGCAGTGTTTTGTCAGTCAGTGTGGAATAAAGCAAGATAGTTTGCTTATGCAGCAATGGGGAAAGCTTAAGAGAAAAAATAAAGTCATTGTTGTGTCCCATGAGAGATCGAGTCCGGAAAACAAAAGCAGTGTTTTAAAACTCAGCTATTCCTAGCCTAAGAGAAGTCCTAACTTGTGCTATTCAGTAGCATCTGATAAAACCAGAGTTGTACTTATATCTCAGTGGAGATGTGCACATTGGAAATTGGACAGCAATAAAACTGAGTAGAAAAAAAGTATATACTGCACAAAATTGTGGGATCTGGAGCTATAATTGAACAGTAGACCAAATTTGAACAGAGAGGGTAGAAGGTTTTTCTTTTCCTATTGAGATCCATGTGGAACCTATTCTGAAACTATTCTGTGAATATTAGAAAACAGGAAGAAATATTGCTAGACTGATTATTAGCAGTTACCTGACCAGCATAACTGGTCTGAAGTGGAAACAAGAAGCACAGCACATGATAAATCATGTAATCCTTATTCCTATGAGCAGGTAGGAAGTTACATTTTCCTCTCAGCCATTCAGTATACAACAAGCCTGATTAAATTAAAAGGAAATCGAATCTACAGCCATCTTAAGTAGGCAGACATTGAGAAGGACACCATTAACTCACTTGCCACCACTGTCACACGTTCAATTAAACTGTAAATGCAGTAATGCCTTCTATTTCATCCGTAAGAACTCCTTGGAAAGGAACTTCCATTAAGTGGACATTGCACAACACAGATGAATATCATCCATTCAGATGGACGTGACATTCTACCACGGATGGGCATAATGAAATAGCAAAGATGCTCCATGATTACAGGTATGGCACAGCAGCCTTGCAGTGAAACAAGAGCCCTTCCAAGTCTGAGATGGGAAGGGAAAAAATTCGTTGCTTTCCAAACTTTTAGAATAATGAGTGTATCTTGCAGTGAATCTCTCTCTTGTTCTGGCTACTGTGTTCATTATTAAGTGATACCATTTTCACATGAAGGTCCATAAGGAATTAGATACTATCTTCACTACACAACAGCTGTGTTCCAGCAGTGCCACCTGATGACTGGGCTCTATACATGTCATTGTGAATAACTGAGCTAAAAGAGTCAAATTCTTTCTGAAGAACCCTAACATGACGACACCAAAACACAGGGCATCACAGGCTCAAATGTCTGACACTCAGAGCATCTGTTCAGAGGGGCAGAACAGCACTCAGCTTCTAAAAACACATTCCTACCCTTCCCCATTCCATGACACCTGGGGATTCCTGGCTTCTGCTGGTAAAATTACTTCTGAGTCCATGCCCATAGACTTCATCAATATTGAACGTGGAGAAAAAAAGACTAGAACTTACAGGCATCCTAGACTGATAGCTGCTCCTTTCACAGGCATATATACATATATATATATATATGCATGCTTTGGGTGAATTCATTTAAAACAAAACTTTTACGTCGTTCCTAAAACTCCTGACCAAATTTAAAATCTTTGGTCCCTCATCCAAAAAACAGCTTCCTGTTAATCAAGCCAAGAGGTGTCAGAACTATGAAAGTGCAAAAGACTCCTAAAAACATCAGTTTCCTTTGTGAAAAGAGTATTTCAAAGGAAGTGTAGTCTATACCAAGTGCAATCTTCCTCTCTGGGCAGCTCACTGCTGCCAGGCCATGGCAGCCTGACAGGCAGCTCAGAACCAGGGGCAAACCCAGATCCTTGCAGAAGAACGAAGCAAACTCAGCAGCAAGCTTAAATGCTGTGTCTGGACGTTGGCCAGTGAGTCACTATGTTACCATCACATCAAAAAGAAGTCTAAATACAGCTGTAACTGAAGCTCAGCATTCTTATCAGTAATAATAATAATTCCTCAATAATTTCCTCAATAATAATAATTGAGGAAACCTGCACTGACCAAATTGGTTAATTTTGGTTTGGAAAAAAAAAAAAGAAAGAAAAAAGTGACTGCTTTTACTACACTTCACAGGCTGAACTGTCCGGCTGTCCACAGATTCTGCTCTCTATTTCTCCTGTGCATTGTTTCTCTTTCTCACCCTTCAAGTTATTCAGAAAGTAAAAGCAACACAAGCAGTACATACAGAAAGGGCACACTTTCAGAAGCCCTTTAGTTTCTGCACACTAAAATATAATTGGAGTAACTGACGTGTCTTGACATCTGCTTAGGAACACTTGTGCCTGATAAAACAACACTTATCTACAGGTATCCTATCCAGCAACTTTCTTCTTAGTCACAACTATTAGTGAAGTGCACCTTTGCTAGATGATCTATTTACAAACGTAAACTATGTAATTAAAGTCTTAAAATAAATAGACAGCCTTTACATTAAGTTGCAACCTGACAAGGTCAGGAATCACCTTCCCAACAATGTGATTTGTGTACGTTGCTCAACTTTTTTTTTTTTTTTTTTTTTTTGATTAAATTTCTTGGCTCCATCTGTTCTGCAAAGTCTTCCTTGTTTGCCTGTATTTACACGGGATAGTTGTGTAAAAACTCCTTGAGCTTTGTTGGATAGTCTGTCATGACTCCGGTTGCTCCCAGATCAAAAGCTCTCTTGTATTCTTGTTCTTCGTTCAGTACCCAAATATATACCTGCAATACAGAAAGACCCATTATTACAGGAAATACTCAAATAAAGAGTAGTGACTGCTGACCTAGATTGTTTCATGTGTGACAGAAATGATGCCACATGTATTAAAACCATTAGGCTGCGATGCCAAAGCACACAAATGTATCCTTCCTCAAAGGCAAACAGTGTGTGGGAAGACATTTTCTGGCTGAATTCAACTCCAGTGTTACCCAAATCTTCAGGCATCTCCAAAAGTCAAGAAAAGCCCCAATCAGGAAAGCAGCTTTGCACATTTTGTAGCTTAACTTTGTCCACCCCCAATCTTCCCTCAATCCAAGTAATGGAGATTTGCTTCAGGTTACGTAGCTCTACAAAGGATTTGAACTGAAATAATCCTCACAGAAAGGGACAGAGAACATGAACCCATCTTAAGGCCATGTCTGTCTTGTTCAGATTCAGATTCAGATCTAAAGCAGATTTCCTCTAGCTTTGCCACACTGTACCTGAATGCCCCGAGCAGTGAGGTGATCAAAAAGTGCTTTCCTCATTAACAATCTGCAGAAAAGAGAAAGATGTTTGTTCATGAACATAGATGGGATTTTTAACATCAATTGATGCTCTGCAATACAATTACCATATAGCATTTAGATTCAATGGTTTCCACAAGAAAGTGATTACTACAGAAAGCTTGAACAACTCAAGTCCACCTAACATTTCCAGTCTGAATTAATAATGGGTATTTGTATCAGTGTTCTGAAGATCAAATCCCTGTTTCCTGTACAGACACCTCTGTATTATCACCAGTATTTTGCCTTCAGATGAGATTTCTGTTCTTCACATCAGATGAGAGAACTCTCCTGATTTGCCACTTAATGAAGCAAATGGATGGCAAACCCAGTAGCAGCACAGACTCTCACTGCATCTTCTGAAACCATCCACGTTCCCTCTGAAGCACAAACAGCCTTAAAATGCAACACACTCAGTGTGAGCCAAACAGCATCTCCTCTGACAACATCAGGAAGCAGTCACAACCTTGTGAAACACAACAGAGCTGTGCTGTGCATCTGCCTGCATGGCAAGCAACCAAACACACGCTCAAGTATTTTAAGTCACACTGGAATGCTCTGCACTGTTACTGTATCTCAGGGTGTTTCTCTGTGTGTGCATAAAAAAAATAAGTATACAGGAACATAAAGGAAAGATTTGAATATGATTTATGTTGCACTGAAAAAATGCTAGAGGAATCTGAAAGAAATGACAGCCCAAGAAATACCTGTTGCCATCATTTGCTCTTCACTGCTTAAGCCAACTGTCAATACTGAGACTAAATATGATTAAACATTTAATCAGGTTAAAATCTTACGTGTCAGCTAGCCAGATAATAAATTTCTGGCTTCTTGACATCTTTTCTGGTTCTTTCAGTCTGTTGAGGAAGAGAATAAAAAATTAGCAGGGCAGTGATTAAAGTATTGAGATGTTTCTGCAAAAGAAACGTTGAAGAATTAGTCCTGCAGTTTCTCAGAGCAGTAATTTCCCTTTCATTTCAAGACAGTGACTTGGAATTGGGTTACAGAAGAGAAATGTGCCACGTTCAAGAGGAGCAGCAGAGATGGGTGTTACATTTTCAGTACAGTATGAGAAAAAAAGCGCATGGGAAATCTCAGATCTACCCTGGCACTGACTTCCCCCTGGCCTTAAACTAATTTGTTCTGTTCCTGTATCTAAGAAAGAAGAAAAGTGCAGTTATTTGTCCAGCATTGCAACATACTGCTGTCTGGATGGCACCAGCACCAGCAGCCTGAAGGTGGCATTTGCAGGACATGCTACCAAACACTGATATGCACAAGGATCCCACACTAGCAATAGTTTAACTCAGAGCTGGCTAGAGACATGTTAAACATAGAGGACCATACAATTTGCATAACTTTCACTTATGAATACCCAAAAGCAGCTGAACTAACAAGAAATAAATACTATTTGTTATCATCTGGGATAGAACTATAAAGATGCTGAGCATATTCTTTACAGTCACCCTTTGCATCTGATGGACAGAAATGAATGGACTGACTTCTACCTCTGCAGGACAAGCATCACTATAAAACTTTTAATATGATATGGTCAAACCACCAGAACACTGACAACTATGGAGTCATCACTTTGGTCATCGATTCAGATAGGTCTCAGTGCCCCTTTACTTGATCAGGAAATGAAAATTTCAACAACTGGGAGCCTCTATCTCTCCAGTCTGAAGTAAAAGCACTCCTTGCAACAGAGCTGCACTGTAAGTTGTGGCACAGCTCCTTCAGAATGCACCACATCTCTGTCTGCCCACCTGCTTGTGCAGTGTATTTCCCTCGGAAATGTTCCACCTCACCCCTTTGTTCATGGCTCAATTTAATGCTCAAGCTGCCATGATCACCCACTTGTTTTACAGTTATTCTAGTGTGGCACCCACCAACCAACTCCAACTCACTTGAGGATGATGGAAGGCATGGGGATTTCCAAGAATTCCTCCTTGAAAGGAATGAATGGCAGCAGACCAGTGTAGAAGAGTCCCAGAAGCAGAAGGACACGTTGCAAACAGAAGATGATGGGAATGTCAGCATTCTGCAGGAACCAGGAATGAACAATTATACCTCATCGTGGTCAAGATAACCATATCAACTTCCCTTCAGACTAGGCATAATTTAATTTACTTCTAAACTGTATAATTCCTTAGCACAAAAAGGAATAGCAGTTTCAGCTGTAAAACAGCTTTATGCCAATATAAGTGAGTGGCAACTAATATCAAAACCCATTACTTCAATAAAAAGAAACATACAATAAGCAGTCTTTATAAGAATTGCTTTTGCACCAGATAAATGATGCACAGCCCTGGCAACAGGAGGTCCTGGCATAAAAATCATAAGATTCCACATATCACAGAACAATTAAGCTTTGTTCCCTAAGTGCTGTATTGCAGAATACATGGGTGCTAGCTAAGCGTGATTTGTTCTAACAGTTTTTATTGTGCTTACAACATTAATGCAAAATTTGAGTGATCTAAAAGGCTGGCATGGCTCCATCAGTCTTGATTTACGGGGTGCTTTCTGTACATGTCATCACACAGCAACAGGAGGGCAAGAACAAAGCTCAGCTCGATCCATTCTTACCTCCTTAAGACACTTGGATACCACCTCGTAATTGACATTCCCCCATACTGTCAAATGCTCTCGTTTATACTGACTCACCAGCTCTGAGACCTGCAATACAGAATCCAAAAAGCAGAAATCTAACATGCTTTCATTGACTATTACACGCAGAATAATTTAATTGCTACTTTTTTTTACTACATCAATCACCACAGGAAAGACAGATCTCCTACATCCTCTCCCATTTTAAGATAATTACACTACATTTACATTCAGGACAAAGAGAGAAGGATGTCAAGGGAAGCAGGGCCAAAGGCCCTACTGTTGTCCAGATAGACGACACCAGGGGCTCTTCCCTTGTCTGCTGACATGGTTAGATCTTGCATTAGATCTCTATGTTCCACATTATTCCATATGCGGTCCAAGATCTAATGTGAAGGGTGCCAGCAGTCTGAAATCCATGTTCTGGGAAGACTTCAACTCCAAGAATCTCTTTTCTTTTGGAACCCCAACGTCCTCACACGAGGTTCAGCCTCACATCTTTACACGCACCTTCCTGATCAACACGTTGTTGTTCACTTTGATGTCAATGTTGACAGGAGTTTGTGGAAATGCCTCAAACACCTCCTTCAGGAGAGGGATGCGGTTATCTTTTCCCTCAGAGTGACTTTCTGGGGAAACAAGAGAATTGTCGCCTCTGTGGCCGTTTATAACATACTGCAGGCAAAAGCTGAGATGTCAGAGCATTTCTTATCTTAGCAGTAAAAACAGTGCACAGAAATAAGCACGTTTTCCAAATTCAATCAGCCATCCAACGAAACAACACCACCACCTTCACCCATAGTTGTAAGTAATCATGAAAAGCTCTTTCCTGCAATGAAAATGCACTGAGATATTTTGATGTCTAGGTCCAAACTGCACAAGATTTAGTCATTATTTTTGCAACAGCAGGAGTCCAGGCATCATTAAAATCAAGAATGAGCCAGCATGGGCTCAGCTGCCACATAGCAAATCTTTCCTTCTAGGAAAATGCACCACAGAGCACTCCCTAAGCAGAGGGGACAGATGGCAAAATCCCCAAATTTTAATGTCTGAAACTGCTTGTGGATCATATGTGTGCGTCACCACACATCACCAAAACGATTGTATCTGCTTTCTGACACTTCTCCAGATCCCGATGGAAGCAAACACACACTTCTCCACTCCCTTTGCCAAAATAAGACATTGCCAGATGGAAAATGAGTTACCAAAACCGCAAACCCAAACAGCAAAAGACAAGAGCTCACCTTTCTGAAACGAGACATCCAACTTGCAGAGATATGGTGGAAGTTCCTTAAAGGGAAAAAAAACCAAACCACCAGTAACTTAAATGCAGGGATACAATCATGACTCTTCTTGAAAAACACATAGATATTCATAAGCCAGGTAAGCTACCTTTAAAGACAAAATTAATCAATTCTCTTTCTTGCCTACAAAGCAATTGTGCATTCTGTTCATTCATTCTGGAACTATGTGGCACTCTTGGAGCTCTGCTACCTGCTGAATGAGGCAAAGTGTGTCCAGACACCCCCTGAAAACAGAATTCCACTTATATTGGATGGAAAGGCAGTCCAGCAGAGCAGTGCGGTGGGATTCCTCTTCCAATTTGCCCATCAAGTAGCTGGTTATAGGATACCTTGTTAGCTAAGCTTCCCCTCCTTAGGCTCTGCATGCACATGCAGCTTTCCTGCCCACCCCAACCATTCTACAAACACTCTTAAGCACCACTGAGCACTAAGATGTTCCTCCAACTTACAGAGTACTTGAGGTCAGATATGTTGACATCGACTCCTGTCGATCTCTTCAGATTCTCATCATGGGACACAACCACTTGCTCATCTTTGGTCAGGTGACAGTCCAGCTCCAGCATGTCTGTTCCTATGTTAACAGCACTGGAAGCAAAAAAAGCCTGCCTTGAAGCACACATGTACTTTGTACAGGTCCAGGCCTAACACACGTGCGTTATTCAGCTGAAGTAATCTCAGGGAAGGCACTTTGTCTGCTTCATGATGTAACAAATCCTCACAGCTGTACTGCCAAGCAAGGAACAAATAACTCTATTGCAGCAGAAAGCTGATGCAAGAATAAACAAAGCACTGTGAATCAGAGCTGGGATTTGGACTGGGAGCCTTGGCACTGCAACCTACCACTCAACATATAGCAATATCACAGTTTAATGGATCATTGGCTCTACAGCTCTGTACCAATGTGAGATCTGTATCGTCACAGAGCATGCTCCAGATTCAGCAAAATGTGTTCTGAGTTCAGGTTGAAAAGCAGAACGCATTTGCAAACGAGGATGGCAGAGTTCTTTGCTCACTGAAGTTCAACTGTTTTCAAGCCATGGCACATAGCAAGGCCTAATAAAGCACAATGTATAGATTTTATAAATGCTGAGCTGACCAGGAGCTTTCATTGCTGTAAACACAGTGTTTAAAACTCTCTCTCTCTCTAAAGTAAGCCTGATGATAAAAGAAATGGAAATGAAGCAGGATAAAAATATCTGGAGAGTTTACTTAGCAGCTTCCTGTCAGGACAACACTAACCTACACTGCAATGAGGACAGCTGTGTCTGTGAATGAACTGCTGGGTTCTCTTTTGTGCCAGAGCCCCAGGTACTTTAACACAGTACAAATGTCTTCTTAGCTTAACAATAATTATTCTAAAATCTCAAACCACCACAGAAGCATTCACAGCATACGATGGTAAGAGCCCAACGAGTCCACAAGGATGTTTTTAACCACTTTGGCACAAAGAACTAATTGCTCTCCAGAACGCAGTGATGCTATCTGCAATTGGCAGCTGTGATCAGTTTAAAACTGATCTGGACCTCAGTGCATGTGTTATTCTATGACAGTAAGGTAATTAAAGCGGTCAGAACAGAAGCAGTGTTATCACACAGCACGATACGAGTCCCAGGACAGTCCTTAACAGAGTTTACCTCTGAGAATTAAATACAAGCTGTGGCATAACTTTTCTTTTTAAGAGCTCTGTCCATATTAAACCAGTGTGATGCTACATCACAATTAAGACACGGTTGAAAAAGAAGCACTTTCTGGAAAGCGTCGTAGCGGAGTTGGAGAGAGGCAGACCAGCAGGAACCAAACACACAGCTCTGCTCAGCTTCCATGGAGATAGAAAAGACTGCAGCACTTTCAATGGCACTGTTTGGATGGGGAAGCTGGCACAGCTCCGCCTGCAAGGCACTGTGCAGACTGCTGAGCCCACTCTGTGCAGTTAAACCCAAACAGCAGCCCCAAAGGAACAAAGAGGAGCCCACATAATTTGGTTGCTGCTCTTTGGCAGCTGTGGTTTGAGATGTGCTGCTTTTCCTAGGGCTTTTGAGAACGCTGTTAGAATGCACTGCTTCTTAAATGCTTGGAGGCTTAAAGGGCTTTCCAGTACCAACTCGATTGCAAACCCGTAGATAAGAGGCTTTCACACATTGTGCAAATGAATTATGTGTGTGTGGGGAGAAAACAGAACTCAAACCATCCTAACAGCTTTACAGATGGTATATTAAGTTCATTAACATTAAGACTTCAGTCCTAGTGGGAGATGAATTCTTAACCTTCTGTACAGAGGAGGAAACTGAAGGCCATTAAACCACAGAGTATGGAGAGCAGTGCATCCAGCAACCAAAATTCAGATGGCCTGAAGGGCAGCAGCACGTGGGTATCTGAATTTGAAACATCTTCTGAGAAGGTAAAAAAGCGTCTGGTGCTACTTACAAAAATAGCTTCAAAATGACAACCCAACAGATGTAATCTCCATCACACGTAGAAGCACCACTGTTTAATTTGCTGGAAGATGAGGAAATGAGACCCCAGATTTCCTCATGTGAAATTAGAGCCACGTTAAGCAACCCATGCAAGTCATGCACAGGAGATGACTTCAGTGCTGTAACCCAAACTGGTGGAAGTCAGGTCATTAGTGATTACTTCACTCATTAAAGACAATGAGGACACCACAGATACAGACATACAGGTTCCATTTGTACTCACTGGTGAAAGGCTGCCATTGTGTTTTCCAGGTTCTCCCCAGCACCTATAAAAATAACAAGAACAGGCACTGAAACCCTTTCCTTCACCTCAGTAGAGGAAAGAAATACAAAGGTTTTAGATTAGAAACACATTTTGAGGAATTAGGATGAAGACATTAGGAGGAATTAGGATGAAGAGATGGGGGGGAGGGAAAAGCCAAGGCTGTCACCTTGGATCTGCATACTTTGAATACACAAATGAGAGCATTTATTTTAGCAAATGTGACAACTCTTCTGTCAGTGCTCCTGAAACAGCACCAACCTGTCAGCAAGGGGCAACGCTGCTGGCAGAGAGCAGTCTCACACATGGGGAATGAAGCACATTAACTCCAGTGGAGAAAAGAAAGGAGAAGCCAATTCATTGCTTCCTCTGGCAGAAATAAACCTTGCAACTCGTCAATTCTTTACATAAAAACCTTTGAAGCATCAGCATGGTGAGGGCTGTGCTTTCACCCTGCCTCAGAAAGGTGCTACGTATGGAGCAGCAGAACTGCAGGAAGCTACAGGGAACAAGGAAGGATACTGATGCAAATCCTAACTACTCTGCAGCAAGGAAGGACAGGCTCTGTAAACAGGAATTATAGGAGCTGCAGCAAGGCCCTGCCCGTTAACGAGGCTTTGTCAATACACACTTATCTAAATCTGTGTTTAGCCAGTAAAGCAATGAAATTCTATGTGCATCCAATAGGCAATTTACAGCTGTTTTCCTTGAGTTACCTGTGCTGGTAAGCTTACAGAGAGGCTTAACTGACAGAATCCAAATGACCAAACCTCTGTGATTTAACATATGGTAAATCCACTGTAGCTTCTGCAGTTTGGCATCCGGTGATGTTTTATGAAGTTTGGCTTTAGCATTAGCAAGAGGTTAAGTGGTAGAAGTGACACAGGGATGAAGGAGAGCATGAGAACCCCATCAGACACCTCTGATAAGTGCCTAACAGATGGGAAAGCCCCGCATAGCACACAGATTATTAGTTATAAATTAACTACAATTAAAAAGTTTTAGATAACTTATCAACCATGACAATACAGCCCTATATCCTGAGCTGGGAGAGAGGGAAAGAAAACCACAGCCAGAAAATTATCCCAACATTTATGGGCAGAAACGTACAAAAAGAAGAATTGTGATGATTCCTTCGACAAATTATGCGTTGGGCAGGGAGGAGTGGGGAGTCAAACCAGCTGGAAGCAAAAAGCCTGACTTGTGTTATAGGGAAGTGAGGAAAAGCACTCAGAGATCAACTGAAACGGGAGCTGTACATCAGCAATATGGCTTCTGTAAACCACTCTCAGAAAAGGGAACTACAGCAAGCAAGCTTTCGTGTCCCACAAGCAATAACCCTTACTAAATTTGGTTTCTTCAATACAAGTGAGACATGGATCTACCAGAGAAGGGCTGTGAAAGTTAAGCAGTGAGAGATCCTTGGTTGAAAGCACTGTGATTATTGCCTGGGGGACGGAAGCTCAGGGGAGATCTTATCCCTAGGTACAAACACCCAACGGGACAGAGGCTGAGCCAGCCCTGCCATGGGGCACCACTGAGATGTGATGAAGCAACGGGAACAGACTGAAACCCTGACATTCACTTTAAACACAAGGAAAAAAACAACCTCTTTTTGGAAGTGTGATCAAACACAGGTTGCCCAGAGAGGCTACAGAGTCTCCATCCTTGGATGTATTCATCACTGGGCAGGGCCCTGACCAACCTGCTGAGGGTGGCCTTGCTCTGAGCACAGAGTTGGACACAGAGACCTCAAGAAGGTCCAACCCACGACTGCTAGATGAAAATATGTACCTGCTGAGTGGGAAATCACTGAGACACATTCCAACTTCAACCACTCTGCCATTTCATGACATCTCCCACAGCCTCACACACATCTGAGAACGCCACCTTGGTCAAACAACAGCTCTGCCATTAGGTCTGTGCAGACAGAGGACTCCAGCACAGAGAATCAGGATCTCATTATTGACCCTGGCAACAAGCAATTTCAAAACTACGCCAAAAGCAAAGAAATAACTCAGGGATGCATCCAAGAGAAGCTATGAACTGAGATAAGAAAGCTCCTGTATGAAAGAGGTCTCTGTTGAGGAACCATAAACTTAGATAAGAGAGTCCTGCATGAAGAAAGAAGCCAAACCAAAGCATGCAAAGCCTCACCTCAGGGAGGAAAAAGTCAAACAAGTGTTACCTTGAGCTCTGCAGTCAATTGGAGCAATGCAATAAGGAAACCTGACACTGCACGTAAGGCCACAGCACGAGGAGCAGCAGAGTCCCACAGGAATCCATCCTGAGGTAAACACTGCAGGGTATGAAATGTAAGCAATCCTCAGCCCCGTGGCGGGCGAAGAGCAACGCTGCCCCGACGCCACTCAGGCTTTATTTCCACCCAGGTGCACTTGTGCTGCTCACACAGACACAGGGCAGCTCCAAGAGCCAGGCTTTGTCTCCAAGCACCCGACGAATAATGTTTCCTTTAAGGAAAGCCTTCTGCCCTTCTGGTGGCACTCAGTGCTCCCTCGGAGGCTCAGGGCTGCGTCTGAGCTGAGGCTGCAGCGTAGAGGCGTGAACAAAAGCGGATTAAGGAGGTCACACCGAGTGCCTGCAAAGTCACCCGCAAGTTTGCAATGGCTTCTCCATTAATGAATGGGTGGTAATCAAAATTATCTGCCCAGCAGGAAACAAGCAGCAGACACGTGCTGAATGAGGCGTGCTTTGTGCTATGTTTAAGGTGATGAGTTATAAGAAGCTCAGCATGTCCCATAAAGCAAAGGAAACAAATCCAAGCAGGAAAAGCTTTCAGAGCTCAGCTCCGTGTCGTGTGATTTAATAACTCACAGAAAAGGAGAGGCGATGGAACCGCACTCAAAGCCCACACAAAGCACAACCAAAGCACTCAGCCTACGGCACCTCGCACCGAATATAGGGCAAAACCCGAGGAGACAACGGGTGGCGTTTCTACCAACGGAGCACTGCTCGGCTCTGACCCCCATCAGCACAGGACGAAACCTTCTCTGTAGTTTCCCCTTTGCAGAAGGTAGAGGGAAAAAAACAACCCCCAACCCCAAACTTTTGGGGTCTTTTAGAGGAGCGCTTTTAGCACCGCGCTCATCTTCACTGCGGAGCGGCGCTGAGGGCCGCGGAGGACGGAGCGATCCGCACTGCCGGAGCGAGGATCGTCAGCGCAGCGCCCGGAGGGGGGAAAGCACCGCACGGAGCTGAACGCGGCTGACGCCGGGAGATTAATTCGGCTCTGAAATGAAGCGGCGGTCAGCAGGTGGCACCTAAAATTAGGCGGGGGGAGGAAGGCTGGGCGCGCAGCGGGCACGGCTCGGCCGAGATCTGCACTGCCGGAGGAGCAGCGCCGAGCAATGAGGGACCCCCATCACCGCCCCCCGCCCCACTCACCGCCGCGGTGCGAGATGTGCCGGCAGCGGAAGCGCTGCCGCTTGGGCCGGTGGAGCAGCCCGGGGCATTTGAGGAGCAGCGCCGAGGTGAGGACGTATCCTCCCAGCGTGGACAGCACGTAGAGCGTCGCCGACATCCTGCGCTCCTCCGGCCGCCCCGAGCGCGCACTCCGCCCGGCCGAGCCCGCCCCACCCCCGGCCCGGCCCTGCCCTGCTCCCCGCGGGGCGGCGGCGTTGCGGGATCCGCTACCACTGCGGCCGCGCAGCCGCACCGCTCCCTCCGCCCCCGAGCCGCGGGGAGGAGGCAGTGCGCATGCGCCGAGACCGGCGCTGGGCTTAGCGCGGCTCCGCGATCGGCTGCCGGAGCGCGCTGCGAAACGTGCATTGCAAAGCGGGCAGTGAAACGATGCGCGCCTAATTGGAGACCGAGAGCGGGGAAATGACGTAAGGTCCCGCCGCTCCATCTCAGTCCAGCAGACAAGCCGTGATCTTAGGCTGTGCTCGTTGCTAAGCGTTCTCTAATAGTAACCTGGCCTGGGTTGAAAAGGACCACAGCGCTCATCCAGTTCCAACCCCCTGCTGTGTGCAGGTCACCAACCAGCAGACCAGGCTGCCCAGAGCCACATCCAGCCTGGCCTTGAACGCCTCCAGGAATGGGGCATCCACAGCCTCCTTGGGCAACCTGTTCCATGCTTCATCACCCCCTAATAAGTATTAGAAAGAGGGAGAAGCATTATCACCCAAACATCAGTAGTACAGGCTCAGTGTATTGTGATAACCAGCTTTTATTTTTTACATACAAAACCTGAATAAACAGAAGAAAAATCACTGTTTTCTTGGATTGCCTTCTTCACTTTGCCTTTACTTCCAGTTCTGTGTTCCTGGGAAACGCAGTGGGAGTCACAAAATCAGCGATACCCACGAATCTTAATCCATAATTTGGATCGGGACCATCTTTTTAAACTCAAACCCATTTCCCAGAGCACTCCTTACTGAGTCATCGCTTTCAGTATTCCTCGGAGAACTTTGTAACTCATCAGTTGTTGGCTTTCCTTTGGAGGAAAGCACGGCCCACGCTCCGTCACGTATGCATAGGGAAACCTGAGCACCCACAGCCCGTCCGATGGAAGCGTGATTTCCTGCTTCTCAGGGTAGAACACAGGGCAAGGTGGTGGCCCGGGTTGAACCTGAGAAGAAGCAGCAAATGAGTAGATCGTCAATCACCATCAGAATCATAGAATGGCCCGGGTTGAAAAGGACCCCAACGATCATCCAGTTCCAACCCCCTGCTGTGTGAAGGGTCACCAACCAGCAGACCAGGCTGCCCACAGCCACATCCAGCCTGGCCCTGAATGCCTCCAGGGATGGGGCATCCACAGCCTCCTTGGGCAACCTGTTCCTCTGCGTGAAAAATGAAGACTTAAGAGCCAAATGAATCCAAGGAAGTCTACTGATCTTGCCTACAGTCAGGATCTCATCCACTTGAGCAGGCTGCAGGAAACCACTGTGCCTCACTTCTGTGAGCCATCCATAGGCTTCCACCATAGGCAAGATGCTGGACTTAAGGCTGCAGCTCTCAATAAACCACAAGCCCACCTCCCTCCAGGCAGCACTAATCACCACATTAATGGGACTTCAATGCTGTGGCACAGAGACACCTGAGCTGTTACTGAAAGCCAAGTGAAGGATGTCAGCAGCACTTACTCTAGGTCATCTATAAGCTGTATTAGAAAACTGAGAAAGCCTTACTCACACGAGGAACTGATGCATGGAACTTACAATGCATAGCATAGCAAATTTTCCAAATATTTTTACACTTTTAGAAGTTATAAGGTATCATATGGATGCAAGCTGGGAATAAGCAACAAAATGGTGCCAGCAGAAACAGAGCCTTCAGTTCTTGCCTCAGTTTCAAAGCTGACAGATTGCTTACTGCACCTCCTTGCTTCCACTTCATTCCACCTTCCTCTAAAAGGATAAACTTGAAATGCTCCCTGTGGAGTCTGGTGGCTTTCACAAAAACATCAGAAATGAGTGAGACAGGAGGAGAAGAACATAATTAAGTATCCACTGAGCTAAACTGCATGCTTTTATATTACTGCTGGAATTCTGGTGTTGAGTCAAGTCTCAATTAGCACCCTTCCTTAACTTCTAACAGAAACAGGTTCCTATGTGAGTAGTTAAATGTATCCCATCATAGAAGCGAGTTCCATTGTCAGCATTAAGGAACTTTTCCAACTCAGGGAAAAATCCCCAGCACCCTTTGGCTCCCACTTTGTGCCCTCTGGCCCTGCAATTAATGCTTCAGCACTCAACCTTTGCTCTGCAGGTAACAGATTCCATTTCTTACCTGAGGTGTCAGTGTTATTTGCAGCGGAGCGTCGGGAACCACCACAAAAAGTCTCATGAACTGAGCATAATGGGGCTTGAGTCCCCGTCCCTGAGTCGAGGACAGGATGTAGAGCGGCATGTCAGAATTGAGGGCTTTGATGGCGGACTCCTTCGGCCCCCCTCCCATCACTTTCATGACCTTATCAGGCCCTGAACACATGAACCTCCTTCCACGTGCATCTTCATATTCAAACCCTACAAAAGCTCGAGCTATGTCATCTCTCCGTCTTCCTCTTCCCATCACAACTGCACTTCTTTTGGCAGGAATAGCCTTGTTAGGAGCGGGCCAGGAATTGGTATCTAAGTCTCCTTCGTCCTCAGCTCTTGTCCTGATGACAATATCCCAAGGCATTAAGTAGTTTGTTCCTGGGATGAAGCCTTGCTGGTCCAGGCCTGTGTGGAAGTTATAAGCCTTAGCAGGCCCCAGCTTAACCAGTGACCAACTGGAGAACTTTGGCAGAAGGCCTTTGGGGCAATTGGAATGGAGCATCCCAGGGAGGTACTCGACAGTGGATGCCTGGCGATCCACCAGGCTCGGCCTTTTCTCGCTTTTGGATTCCCCACTCTGCCCCTGACCTTCTGCATTGTCCCCTCCTCCCTGGGCATCTGGTGGGTAAGTGCCCAAGCTGCCCGTTGACTGACCCAGGCTGAGGGCTAAGCTCAGACCTGTGCTTTCTCCCTGAGTCTGAGGTTCTTTCTCTTTAAGTTTCTCAATTTCGCCCTCTGGAGGGGCAGGCGATGCCTCATCCCTCGCAGGTGCTGGATCAGGTGTGCTTGGCTGAAATATGGGAAAATTGATGTGCTCCAGTTTCCCACAGCATTTTTCTTCCAGCAGCTACGAAAAACAAAACGTGGTTAACTTTCCAACTTGTCACTGGCACGGGAGAGTTCAGTCAGACCGTTCAGAAGGTACAATTCAGGCTCAAGAGATCTGTGCTATGTGAGAATCAAAACAGCAAATGGAGGACAGTCTGAGCAGGATGGATTTAGCAATTATCATGCAGTGGAGAAGACTTTAATTGCTCCCTCAGCCCATCGTGCTTCCAGGCACGTTTTCCCTAAGCAACATTTACATGTTGATAAGGTTAAGAGGACATTGATTTGTGGTCCTTTCCGAAAACAGACTGTGTTGATGATGCAAAAACACCGCGTGAAGCAAAAATAGAGACTCAATAATTACCTGGTAGAAGTCGTAATTAGCTGCTTTGATGTCAAAGGGGTCATCACGAGGAGCTTGTTTTCTTCCACAGTTACAGGCACCAGTGGAACGAGCCCGGCTGTTGTGGTACAGGATTGGGGGATTTCTGTCTGCTTCTGGCTTTTCCCCTAGAAGCAAAACCAATCAGATAAAACGCCCCCTATTTCTAGAGACTCTGATTCTCTTCCTTGCTATTTACCTAACAAAACCAGTAACTCCTTTTCTCTTTCCCTTCTTGTATACAAAGTTTCAGTGTAGATTACACCTCTAAACTGTATTGTCTTTGCTTTTAGAAGCTTCTTACAAGACATAAGTAGTTCTTCTGCCTGCAACACTTAGATCTCAGTTTCCATCCCTTGATTGCACTCAATCAAGCTGGGTAAAAGGAGGCAGAGGGCAAAGAACTTTTCCCAAAGAACTTTTTTATCCCCTGTATCTCTTGTTAGAAGAGCTCCAGTGTAACACCTCCAATTAGCAATGCACAATCAAAGTTATCACTGAGCAGGCTTGCTCCTAAACTTTACTTCATGTGAGTGGAGCCGTGGTGTCTGTTTTAAATAGAATTCAGAGGACGCAAAGGCATAAGGATGTGAGAATAGTTGAGAGTGAGAATGCCTATGTGACACTGACAGCATGAAACAAGGCCTTACCACCTTATAGTTCCTTCTATACCCTGGTCCTGTGCATTGCAGTCGCACTGTATGTGCTCCCACTATCTGCAACACACTGCTCAGAACACAGGACCCAAACTGGTCACTGAAGCTAAAGGCATTTTAAAGGAGGTACAAAATTAAGCAGAGAGAAACAATCACAAATGAGTTTCTTTACCTGCTTTGGGGAGCAAATGAAACTTGTGCACGCAGTGCTGGTCAGTTAAACTTCGTTCCTCACAAAGCTGGTGCCCGTTGCTCCAGAACTTGTAGCAGTCCTCATTCAGCTGCATGGCATACTTATGGAAGGCCGGGCCGCGGGCGTGCTGGCTGTACACTCGCAAGGCCTGGGCCAGCTGGTTCTTATGGACTGTCATGGTGTAATTGTGGGGCAGGTTGGACTGATAGGCACTGTGGGCCATGGGAAGGGCTTTCTGGCAACGGTTTTCAGAGAACTTGGTGTCTATATCTAAATAGCCTTCCAGAACTTTGATGCTGCTCATGATTTTTGAGCTCAGTTCACCAGTGAGTGAAGTCGGGTCGTCATCTTTGCCTTCGATGGTCACTTCGTACAGCTTTAGAGCTGCAGCAACCCACTTCTGGTAGGTCGGGAGCTCAAAGTGAGAGGGCTGTGGGTTCCTCCCCACGCTGTCATCGAAGCCCTTCTTGCTGAGCACCAGCTCCACGTGCTGCCACAAGAACTCCTTCAGGGTACAGTCCACCAGCTGCCCTGAGGAACTGGAGCTGCTGCTGCTGCTTTCTGCATAGAAGGAGAGCTGCTGCCTGCCATGACGCATCATCTGGTACCTCCGGGGCCCCGATAGGGTGGGAGCCAGCAGGGAGTCCGTCTCCCTCATGGTGCAGTTGCTCCTGAGCTGATCGAGAAGCATGGCCACGGGATCCTCCCCGTCCTGCGCCCCTCCGGCCACGATGTACACGAAGGCCTGGTTAGCAGGCACGGTGAACAGGCAGTTGATGCTCTGGTTGGTCAGCACCCTGCTCTTGCGGAAGATACGGTAGATCTGGTCCTCCAGGGCGTGCTGCAGCCTCCTCTTGGGGGAGTGCTTCTTGGGGGGGGGCTTTTCCAGGTGGCCGCAGGGGTCCTGGCCCCTGCCCGGGGGGGGATCCACCTTCAGGGCCCCGTTGAGCTGGAAGAGGAAAAGCAGGCGCGGCGGGCAGGGCCTGCAGTTCAGCTTCCACTCCTTGCCCACGGGGCAGTCCTTGATGGCAGCCTTCAGGGAGGGCAGCACCTTCTGCCGCAGCCCATCCAGCGCCCTGAAGACGCGGTCGTAGGTGATGTCGAAGGAGCAGGTGGGGTGCACCAACAGCAGGATGTGGCACACGGAGAAGAGATAGAGGAGGCTGAGGCAGTGCAGCTTCTCCTGGTGCTTCCAGAACTCGTGCGCTTCGGCGTGGGGCAGCGGCACCCCGGGGCCGTTCTCCCGGCTCTCGGCCGCCGCCAGGTCCCCGCACGCCCGCAGCAACTGCGGGGTATCGCAGATGGAGGTGAGCACCAGATACAGCACGCGGCTCTCCTGGCTGTAGTACGCCTGCAGATGGTTGTAGTCCCTGCCGGCCGCCTCGCCCTCCCTCCCCGCGCCGCCTCCCGCCTCCTCGGCCTCCTCCCTCTCGAAGAGGGGAAACACCTGCCGGTCGCACACGGTGCTCACCAGGGCCGCTTTCTCCGAGCACAGCTGCAGCGCGGTTTTGCCGAAGATGCCCACCACGCACACCTCCTCCTCTCCTGGAGCCGCCGCCGCGCCCTGCCCCGCCGCCGCCGCCGCTCCGCTCGCCTCGCTGCCGGCCAGCAGCAGCTCCCGCAGGCTCACCGGCCCCGCCATCGCTCCTCCCGGCCCCGCCATCGGCCCCGCGATTTGCCCCGCCATCGCTCCGCCCGGCCCCGCGCCTGCGCCAACGCCGCGCCTGCGCCGCCCCGCCCCGGGCACTGCGAGCATTGAACGCGCGGCGATTGAAGCGCGCGTATGGAGCAACGAGCCGCGGTGACGGCGGGGACATTGAGCTCAGCTTAACGCGCGGTCAGTCGGTTTGAAACGAGCTGAGTTTATTCCACAAGCAGTGCAGGAGCGGAGTGTCAGGCAGCGCTTCATCATAGGGTGGTCTCAGAATTGCCTGCAGAGCATCCCCGGTCCCAGGACGGCCCCGCTGCTCTTCCTCCTCCCACAAAGCTCTGGGATGATGCTCCAGTGGCAGAAGCCACGCAGGATGCATGGCCAAGCTCTGGGAAAGCGGCCCGGGTGCGACTGAAACCCAGTCCTTGCAAAGCAGGGCTCTGTCCCAAGGCCACGCCGTGTCCACGCTGGGCAGTGAGCTCCATTGCTGTGCCCTGGGAGCGTTCAGCTGCCCGCCTCCAAGCAGCGCGGCCTTTAGTAGCAGAGGTGACCTCATCTGGCCCCAAAGCGATACATATTGCAGTTGTCTCATGTGCTTTTAACCATGTAATTGTTTGTGGAAGACTGTAAACGTTCACTTCAGGAGCACCAGAGGGCATAACTGCTGCTTTGCTTGGAATTTGTGCAATTGCTGTCAAGATCAGTCTTGTTATAAAAAATACTGAATTTCCATAAACAAACACACGTATATTACAAGCAGAATCAGCACCAGGAACAACAGTCCCTGTTTCAGCAGCAGCCAGGTATTAAAATACTGAGAAAACCTCATTTTGTCTTACAAAATACAAAACCAGATTGAGACGCAGTGGAAAGACGTTGCCTTTAAAAAGGGCAGACTTTGGATAAAGTGTTTTCAGAATGCCCCCTTCCTAAATGCACTCACACACATTCATTGTGCCTCAGTGACATTAAAACGTGATCCAATGAGCTCCCTGACCATTAATGAAAACACATTGCTGTGTAAACCTTACTTGTGCTCATCAAAGGTGCTGGCAGCGCTCAGCCGGGCCGGTGAGGGGCTCTTCGGATGTGCCATCTGTTAACACAAGAGCTGGGTCAGACCTTGGGATGTGAGCTTGGTACTAATTGCTACTGAGACAAAATGCAATTCTTAACTGATGTTTCATAAAAGAGAACAGATGCTGCCAATCCTTAAGGTAGAAGTTATGATGAATCCTCAGGTTCTGTTCTCCTGGTACCCAGATAGATCTCTGATCTTAGAGACAGTGCTGACAATACTGGAATGGTGATAAAGAAAGCCATTTTTGTCCTTAGCCAGGTCAGATCGCCTGCTGGAAGAGGGGCAACACCACTCGCCTTCTGCAGTTTCCTCACCAATAAAATGGGAGTGATAGAACAAACACCTTTATCTGTGGGCAATGAGCACGCTGGGGCGGTAGTTATGGACTGGGCACTGATACCACTGCACTGCAGGAAAAAAATCCATATGAAACTGCATGGATTTTAAAGCCAGCTCCTCGTTCCAAAAAGACAGACATCGTGACTTGCCTGGAATTTGCGCCGCAGTGCCTGTGTCATAATGGGTGTCAGCCCAGTCCCACATTCAGTGTTTTCTTTATTTAGTGGAGTGCCACCAGGACTTCTGAAAAGGTTGGAAATGAGGGCAATTGGGATTAGTTCTCTGATTTTATTTAGAATAACAAAGCAAGAGAACAGAGTGCAGCTTACCTTTGTATATTGACTTTCTTAAGATGTTTCCGAAGATCTAACTGGTTTTTAGGTGGGGTTCTATTGTAAGAAAACAAAACAAACAGGTTTAAATGAAACTGCTTCCACTGTGTAAAGCGTTCATCACTGTTCTGAACAGAAAGATGTATTTTGAAGGGCAGAATGTAATATTGAAGAAAGAATGAAAGCATCTTACGTTAAGGAGCTTGTAATGTGAGCTGATGGCTTGGATTTGGATCTCAGATTAACACTCTGTATATCAGAGACTGTAATCAATGCCCTGCGTGTCCTCTCTGGGGATCCTGCCTGAAGACAGAAAATAATGTTACCACAGATAAACTTTAGAAGGCCTCACTGATCACAGATCCATTTCAGATTCACATCCTGAAAGATTTCAGTGACTTATGGCTTTCATGCATTTTTGAATGATGATTTTAATATGTCTTGGATAAACTTCTATTTGTTTAAAAACAAACAAGTGCAAACAAGACCTCCAGAAACTGCAAAATATATTGATACTGTAAAGTCCTTCATCTAAAATCAGAAAAGCTGTGCTGCACGTGAACTGACATTGGCATTAGTCATTTAATTTGTTCATTTCCAGTGCCAACACACACAATTAGGATTCCTTAGAGCTGAGCCCTGAGATTTTGAAATAGTTAATTTCTTGAAGAATCCTCTGAGGGGCCAAAACAAGCACTGCAAAAAAACTGCAAAACAAGCACAGTTGGCCCCAGTGCACCATTATCCACACGTCCTCTGGTTCACCTTGTTTGTTTTCAGGCTGCTGTCTGTCTTCCTTAGCTTTACATTCAGGAGATCTTTGAGAGTGATGTGCATCGGTGCATCTTTTTTTACCGATGGCTCCTAAGAACAAAACATGGTTGGAAGGGAGATGAGGATCAGCAAGGGGCTGCTTGGCCACAAAGATTTGTTCCCAATGAACCCACAAAAGAACTCAGCCATGAGTAGAAGAATCACCTTACCAGCAGTGCTTTAGAGCCGTTGCCACGTTTTAGGAGGAGAGGTGCTGCAGGCAGTTTTGGTGGTGGCAGTGGTGGAGGAGGAGGAGGAGGAGGAGGAGGAGGCACAGCTGTAGGCTGCAGCTGCACTGCAGGAGGCCCAGGAACTGATGATGGAGGGTTTGGCTGCACTTCTACAGGAGCACCCAGAACTGTTTTACTGCACCTTTGACAGTGAGAGCTTTCTGCAGACAAAGTCGTAATTCCACTCTTCTGAAAACAACAGAAATAAAAGAATATTAAAGCCACTGCTAAAAGCATATGCAATTTTTTGAGAAAGGAGATTCTGGCTTCAGTTGATCCAGAAAGAGGTAGAAGGTCTCACTGGACAACCAGCTCCATTTTGCCATTAAGTAACTGCAGCTTAGCAATGCTGTATGCGGAGAGATGAAACACTCTGCAGTGAAATCTTGATTTCCTCCTCACTGACACAAAAAACCACCACCCTGCCCCACTGGGATTGAGACTGACCTGCAGTATTCCTTGTAGTCTAGAAAATTCAGTTTCCAGCTTTTCCAGCTGCTCTTTGAATGCACTTAGCTCCCTTAAGTAGACTTGTGATGGAAATATCACTTCTTTAACCACCGTGAAACTCTAGAAATAAAGAGAAACTGCATGAATATTTTCACTAAGTTGCATTTCCAGAGAGCTCTGCTCACTGTCGGCAGTTCCAGCGCAAAGTTCTCACTGAGGCCAGCAGAACACACAGCATTAAGATGCACAGTTTCACCAAACAGCAGGAACCCAAGGAGTGATTTTCTCAAACAGACCTTCTCACTCCATTTATGAATTCTAAGGCTTGATTCACATCAAATGTGAGCAGTCATCTCTGTTACTAAAGAAAGGCAGTGCCTTCTGACATTGCAAATCCTCTTGATACTGCAATACAAAAGCTCCATTTCACACATTTAACGTATATCTTTCAGGTATTTGAAGATGCTACAGAATCACAGAATGGTCCGGGTTGAAGGGACCTCAAGGATCACAAAGCTCCAAACCCCTGCTGCAGGCAGGACTACCAGCCTCCACATTTCATACCAGCCCAGGCTGCCCAGGGCCCCATCCAACCTGGCCTTGAACACCTACAGGGATGGACGGGGCATCACAGCCTCTCTGGGCAGCTGTTCCAGCACCTCACCACTCTCTCCCTGAAGAACTTCCCCCTGACATCCAACCTGTCTTCCCTCCCTCAACTTCAAACCATTTCCCCTTGTCTTGCTGTTATTCGTCCTTTCCAAGAGTCGACTCCCCTCCTGTTTAAGGCTCCCTTCCTTCAGCATCCGACACAGCCGTACTTCAGGTGCCGCAATGGACACGGCTGCACTTACGGCTCAGCCCCGCAGCCGGGCGGGCAGCACAACGAAGCAGAGGACGTACCTGCGCGACGGCGCTGCGGCACCAGCACAACAGCAGCGACGCGACCGCAGCCAAAGGCTGAACCACGTGTGTCACAGCGGGCAAAGGCAGCGGGCAGAGCGAGGGCCGGGCTGCAGCTGCGACCTGAGGAAGGTGAGCCGAGGCGGGGCGGACGGCAGCGCCGCGATCGCAAGGAGGTGCCGGGCGCTGTGACCGCGGGGCGGCTTTGGTTTTGCCTCTCGGCCGTCGGCGGCGCCGTTTGTGCTTCACCATCGCTGCTGTAAAGGAGGGGGTAGCCGTTAACGCGGCCCCAGCCAGAACCGCTCCCAGCGGACACACGGCGCAGCCGCCTCTCACGGCGCCGTGACGGTACACAGCGGGACATCCCGCTCCTGCAGACCGCCGGGTGCGGCCCCAGGCCCGGCTGTCCGTTACCGCGGGGTCTGTCAGCACAACCCCCCCCCACCTCCCCTCAGCCCGCTCACCTCCTGCCCGGCGCCGCCGATTCAAACCGCTCCTCGCGCCGCGCTCAGCCAATGGCAGCGCCGTTCTCCGCCGCCTCCACCCGCGGCCCCCGCCAGCAGCGCGTTGATTGGCCGCCTGGCCCGAGCTCGACGGGAGAGGAGAAAGGGCCAATCGTGGGCCTGGCGCTGCTCCGTTCCGCCATTGGATCAAGGCGCGCCCTCGCCGCGCTGCGATAGGCTGCAGCTCACAGAGCTCCCCTTTCTCGCCAATTGCAGCCTAGTACCCTCTTCTCCATCCAATCGCAGCTGGATTCCACTCTGTCCCAATGGCGGCTCGCGGACTTCCCTCCCCCAACCACTCACCGCCCGCAGCCTTTCCACCAACCAATAGCCTCTCCTCTACCTCAGAGAGGGTTTACATTCCTTCCCGCCCAATAGCGAGCGCCCTCTGTCAGCCGCGAGCCAATGGGAAGGGAACTCCGAGTGACAGCTGCCCAATCGGAGCCTCCGGCTCTCCCACCCCGCGGGGCGGGGGGTGGGCATCTCCCCGCCGCCGCCTGAGGAATGTCAACTATTCAACATGGAGACGGCGGTTACCAGGCTCGAGACTATGGTGAGCGCGGGAGGCGGCGGGGCCGGGGCCGGGGGGCGGCGGCCGCAGCTCGGAGAGTTCCGGGGCCGCGGCCCAGGGGAGCGAAGGGGCCGCGGGCGCGGCCGGGGGCGCGAGGGTGGAGAGCGGCCGTCCGCCAAGCGGAGCCGGGCCCCGAGCGGAGCCCGCGGGAGGGGCAGGCCGGGGGCGCGGCCCTCAGGAGGCGGCCGCCGCCCGCCGCCGGCTCGGGCGGGTTCGGCCGGTCCGTTCTGTTCGCCACCCCCCCCACACTCCGGGGGGGCGGGGTTCCCCGCACCGCTCCGTTCCGCCCTGAGCGCCGCGGCCGGGCCTCGCCACTCCCCTCTACCTGGGGGGAGCCGCGCTCCGATCCGCTCCGCACCACCGCCCGTTGGAGGCCCCGCGGAGGGATTGGGCCGCGCCGCTCCATTTCCCCGCCGCCCCGTGAGGAGGGGTTGGGGGGGCGTGGAGCGCGGCGCGCTCGGACGAATCCATTTTCAGTCAGCGGTGGGGGGGCGCAGCTCACACCTGGGCCGGCGGGTGGAGGCCGGACGGCCGCTCCCATCGGCGCGCACAGCCGTAGGGGGGAGCGGGGTGGCGGTTTCCCGCCCAGCGCTGAGGCGGCGCCGCGCCCCGGCCTCCCCCTCGGCTCCGCTTCTCGCCCGGCCTCGCGGTCCCGGCCCTCACCGCGCTCCGCTGCTCTCAGGCGGCCCGGCGGCGCAGCGCCGTTATGTAACGCTGCCCGTCCTCCGGCAGCGGGAAGAAAGTTAAAGAGCGAAGGAAGGCGGTGCTGTGTCCTCTCACACCCTCAGGGCTGCCGAGCCCTTCAGCCGCAGTTCTCTGTGCCGCCTTTCGCGTCCCAACCTTTTTTTTTTTTTTTTTTTTGGCTCTGTTTCATGTCGTTTTGTGACATGCATAGCTCGTTTGGGGTTTTTTGTTTTTTTTTTTCTCCTCTATCTGAAGCCCTTTGGGCATATTTTATGTGTGTAGATGCTTAATGAGATCATTTCATTCCTTACACGAGTTAAGTGCTCTCACTGGAATTGCTTGTCAAGCACGGCACTCCTTTGTGTCTTTTCTCTGTGTGCAAACTTCCAGGAATTCTTGGAATCCCAAACATTTATAGTTATTATAAATTATCATAAAATTATTACGAAATTGCGCATTAGGTACCTACAAAGCAGAAAGGTGCTCCACATGAATGGCAGAAGGACATCTCAGTGCAGAGACAAACACAGAGAAGCAGCACAGCCAATTCCTGCCTGCTGTTCCCCAATTCTGATAGCACTGGTTTCAATTCCTAATTAAAGAAAAGGAAAAACGAGTATAATAGTCTCTTAATTCTTATCATAACGCAGTAACATCGCTGAAGGGACACAGAGTGGATGATAGTGGTTTTGAGATTATAGCCGGGTCTTTATCCAAAATCATTTGGGGAATCCATTTGGAAACTGATTTCCTGTATGTAAACTTCTTATAGAAACGTAATAACTCTTTGTCAATAAGTTTATGTATATACAGTGGCATCTGTGTTCACTGATACTTCTTGCTTTCCCTTCCGCTTGTTGCTTCTTCCTTCCATGAGGTTGGCTCTCCCCACAGAAGTGTGGTGAAATAACACTTCTTATTTCCGCAGGGGTTCTGACACACATTTTGTGCAGAGCTTCGCCTCAGCCTCTTGGAACCAGGGATGAAGTAACTTGTAGGAGCTTACAAAGCAGTGTGAATGGTCACCTCCAGTTAATGGAGCCCAGCACTCAAGCACAGTAACACGAAGAGTTGAATGAACCACAACATCTACAGTGTGAGATTTATTACGCAAGAAACTGTAAAGCTGACTCACTCGCAGTGCTTTTCAGTGTGTACTTCAGCAGTCTGCACTGAAAGGAACTTAAATTCTGCACACGTCCATTTAGTACAATTAGCAGAAGTAGAGAAGTGGGCAGGTGCTGCACTCAGAGCCTTTCACTTGGTTTCTGCTACCATTGGTAGAGGGGTGAGCCTGCCTGTTCCTCTGAGCGGTGTCTGTCCAGCGCCCTTTTTATGTTGTACTACTAGTGATCATACACAAAGCAGTGCAATGTTAAAAGGGCATTGGCCAGCAGTGCTGTCTGCAGTGCTCCCTGCTATGGAGCTGCATCCATAAGTGCTGTTGTGTCTGAGACTGGAGGTGATTGGAAAAACAACTCTCAAATTGGATTTGGTGAATTCCCTTACCCAATGTCCACGACCCCCAGCAAGCACCACCTGGTTCAACTTTCTTCTTTCCAACACATATTTTGGGTGTATTGGCTTGTTGAGAATTGTTGCTGCTAACGAATGCTCTGACTTTATTGCACTACTGTACTTCACAGCTAGCAGTGCAATAGTATTGTCAAAGCATCTGAAAGCAGAGCGTGCAGCGATGGCGTGCGTGGTGCCTCCACTTGTATTGCTTTCCTCTCAGCCTGTGAGTAAGTTACACATCTATGTCTCAGAAACTGCATTTCCCATGTGACTGCTGTGCAGAACTCATCATACAGGTGGGCACAGCCCATAACCTTCACTTGGGGTTTTGGAGGTGTATGGTCACATAAATACTACAAGAAATAAACGGTTATAAACTAAAGGCAGCTGGATGATAATACATCCTTGGGCCTATAAAAATGTTCTGAAATTGCTGATAGCAACCTTTGTCTCTTCTGTAGTTAGCATAGTTTCAGGAGAAAGCAGGAATGCTTATCCTGCGCTCGTGTTTTCATTGAGCACAAAGGGTGAAGCCAGGGCTGCAGGATGGATACACAGCACATTCCTGTCCCCATTTCTGTCCTGAGGGACAGCAGCAGCACGGCATTCATGGCTTATCATTCACTTGGCGTTCTCACGTGATCGATACTGAAATATTTCAAGAACAGGTCTTCATGGACAATGTTGAAATCCATCCATATTCATTGTCTGCATTCCTAGTAGTTAATAAGGAGCTTTCACAAATACAGCCTTATTTTGATCCTTACAAAAGTTGTATTGATTACTTCAGAGTTAAGCTTGATACAGTTAGTGACAACAACACTGAGCTAAGTAAATTACAAGAGTTTTGACTTACTTTTATCACAGTCTGTTCTGTCACTGTAAAACACCCCAATGATTTCACTGAATGCCTTCCCCTGAAGTCTCCAGAGGTGTTACAGTTGCTGATTACAGTTGCAGTACTGATGCTGTCAGCAGGCTGCATGCAGGCAGTGGCATCATTCTCTGGTGGCTTATTTATCCCAAGGAAAGCAATGTGTTGTCATCAGCTGTATTATCTGTTTGTCAGTCTGTTTTACTGGGGGATAATGGAATGTGTGACAGTCACTACAATCATCTGAGAGAATTAACTCCTCATGTAATTAACAGCCAAATCTGTTACACTCGACTCCTCCGTTTTTTTTCCTAGTTTCTGCTGTGTAAATAATGGAGTGTTACAGTTTTGCTAGCAGAGTTCTTAATGTTTGAAAAGCAAAGCAGCTGACTGAGAAAAAGCTTTACAAACTGCTGTAAATATGTTTGTGTCTGGGGAGAACAAATGGAACATCTGCAAGCTGTGAAGACCAGTTTCAAAAAGCTGCATGGTTGTGGTGCCCTGAGAGAGCTCCCCCTGCAGCAGGACTCAGCTTTGTCCTGAGAGGTTTGCATGGAGGGGCAGGGGGGGCTGGAAAGACATCAGCCTTTACAATGCAGGCAGTTGTCTTCTGCCTTCCTGAAATACAGACAGTGTATGCAAGTGGCTGAGGTTGGTCTTTGGGTTTTGGTTGTAATACATTGTGGCTAACCCTGAATGTTTCAGTTCCAGAAGGCAGAATCTGATCTGGATTATATTCAACACAGACTGGAATTTGAGATAATGAAAAGTCTTCCTGATAATCCAGCAGCAGAGGTAGTGTTTTCAAATTAAATGAATAGACTTTATGGCATTCTACGTGAAATTGGTAATAAATAGTTATTTTTCCTTAAGCTGAAATTATGTGAATGTTCATCTAGTTGTAAGATGTTTATTGCATGTACACCAAGGTATATGAGCTGCAGCAATGAGCAGAAAGTGTGCATCTCTGATACAGTGAAACTCCCCCTGGTTTTATGTTGAGAGGAGAGCACTAAGGTTAGCAGTAATGGTAGCACCTGATGTTAGAGGTGGTTCCTGAAGTGCAGCCTCTTTGTGAGAGCAGAGAGGAGCCTGCTGGTCAGCAGTGCTGAGCACAGTGCTGGGGAGGGAAACAGCAAATGGCAGCATGTGAAAATCTCATAGAAAGCCCTTGTTGCCATGTGCATTGTGACATGTAGTCTTGGATATATAACCCTTCTATTCCAAAATCTCTACCTTCTTCCAAACCAGAAAAGCCATGTCATATTTGTCGTCACAATAAAGGCCTCTCTTGTATTCATTATGGAACCATGGAGTTGTACAGGTTTATTGACAGCATCTGCCATTTGTGCCTGTGAAAAAAAGAGATACTCTCAGCTGCACCTTTTATTGTAAAGAGTTGATCTTAATCTCATGCTTTTAATTCTCACGTGCCCAGGTATTTTCTCTTATTGGACAGTTTAAATGGACCTTTCCTTTCTACATAGGAAAACCCAGTTGCTCTCTTGGAAGAACTCTCTGTGGTGAAATCTCGTTACAAAACGTTATGTGTGCAGCTGGAAAAAGTTTCCTTAGAGCAGAGAGAATCCATGAATGGCATCCGTGCTGCTCTAGAGAACACCATGAGGATGGTTCAGGCTCTGCAGCAACGCACTGATCTCCAGGTAGTGCTTCCATGTCACTAACTTGGGTCTCAGTGCTCTACATGACCAGGCATTTGTGTAACCTCTGTGTAACATGGGTAGTTTAATTGGAAACTATTGCATGCATGGATGCTTCGGAGACAGTGTAGCAGTAGAAATGTAGATAAGATTGAAGCCAGACTGATTCATTGCTCAGTGGTTAAGCCAGTAGTATTTACTTTTGGAGTTAAAGTTGTCCTGTCAGTGGCTCATATGACAAATGTCTTTGTTTTCTAGCGCTTGCCTCTGTCAGAAGAAGAACAGGCTGCAGCACAGCAGTTAGGCTGCCAAACTGCTAAAGAAATGGAATCACTGGTTGAAAAGGTAATTAGGCACAGAGCACTGGTACTGCAGAAGCTGAGTCCCGAGAAGGGCTGCTTTGGCACCTTCACACCTTGAGTAGAGTTTTTCAGAAATGGTGCTGAAGTTCCTAACAAACTTTTTCTCTTCTGTTGTTGAGTGGTTAAGTTGGTTATTTCTCCCCATTAAGTTGCCTAGAGAGGAAAAACTGTTAAGACAGAAGACTTTTCTCCTGTTTGTTTGCTTGGTTTCTCTTTTTTTTTAATTTGTTTGTTTGTTTGTTTGTTTCATTGGGAAATGTTCTTTTAATACATTATTTAAGAAGACTTTGGATGGCAGTGAAGAATGTGATGGATTCAATTCAGTGCAGTTTGGGACTAGCAATAATTTAAGTGTATTTTAACTGCAGCAGAACACAGATCTAAACTAACACTTGTTAAAAAGTTGGATATTCTCCCATATCTATAGCACAACATTTTAATATAATTATCTGCAAATATTTGGTCTTGGTCTCATAATAACAGCAAAATAGTGAAGATTTGGGGGGGACTTTTTGGCTGCATTTCTAGCTGAGGTTTGATGCAGCTCCCTTTGCTTGTTGGAACTGTCAGCCTCTGAAGGTTGTTTGGGAATAGGAAAGCCATTGTTTTCCTTTTCTGCACGTGCAGTGATTTTTGCAAGATCTGCACTGGAATGCAAAGGAGAAAGCTGAAGAGCTCTGTCTGACTTGCATTTGAGTCCTTCTGTTTCCATTTTAAGCACATTTTATTCGAAACCAGGATTTGTTCAATGCCTAAGGTTCTGCTGTTGGCTTCAGTGGCTGCAAGATCCTCAGTTATCCAAATAAGACGTAATAGCTCACACAGAAATGAAATTGTAAAAAAACCTAATTTCTCAGCCAAACTCATGAGAAATCCTGACATTTTTTTGTTCATTTTTAGCCATTCTGTTCAGAATCTGTAGACCCTGACTCAGCTGAAGGTGAGTGGTGGAAGATTCTTCCTGCTGGTTTTTGTGTGTGTGTGTGTGTGTCTGTGATTTGTTGGGTTTTTGTCTTATGTTTGTGGTCTGGAAGCAGATGGTGTACTATTTTACCACAGAAATAACCCTTGTTTAATCCATGTATCCTTTACAGAAAGGAATTTTTGTTATTGTTGTTGTTTTCCAAATGGTGTCTGACAGACCACGTCTATTAATGCACATCAGATCTCAAATCCACATCAGATCTTAAATCCATTATATTTCACGGTGTCTGTAGCAATAACGATAGTCTGGGGGGAGTATCTTCCTCCTCTCCTTCCTCCTTTAGACTCATTTGGGAGCTTTGTTAATAAGTAGTGCAGGTATTCTTCTTCTTTGCCCTGATTTCTGAAGCACCAACTATCTTCATTTGCAATTTTTTAGAGTCACAGTTCAAACCCCTGACTGAAGAAACACTTCTGACTGTGCCAAGGAGTATCAGAAGCACCGTTAAATTAGCAGACTTGAACAATTTGTACAGGGATTTATTTAACCACTTTGTTGTAAATAAGAACAGGTAAGACTTAAAGCTACTCATTAATAAGAATTGTATATGCTGCGTAGAAATTCAGCATTTTCAAATGAAACAGAAACAGCTCACTTACCACCTGCTGCTCTATAGTAACTGGCATTTCATCGTGCTCCTCTGCACCCTTCTGGGTGGGTGTGCAGCACAGAGTGTCAGACAAAACCCTGAGTTCATTTGCATATAAATGACTTTTATGCTCGTTTTCACTGGATGTGTTCTTTCTGGTGAGGAGATAACAGTCAGGAAGTTTTAGATGCAGGAATTCTGTATCGTGAAGTTGTGCCAGGAAGTGACTGTTCCAGTTTAATGCAGCCTGGAAAAGCTGATGACAGTTTGAATAAATGTTGAGAATGGCAGAGCACGTGCACAAATATTTCCTTAAACAAGAAGTGCTTTTTTGCCATTTTCTGTCAGACCTGCTGCTCCATGACCCGTTGTGCTCAGCACTTTTCTTGCCTTACAGAGCGGCACTGAGCATTTCACAGATGAACAAAATGAACATGAGAGCCACTGACACAAGGATACGGATCTTGAAAGAGCTTGCTATTGTGGAACTTGACAAACAAGGCAATGTTAAGTTAGTCGTGTAAATGAAGGCCTGGTCCGCCCTCACTGGGCACACAGCACCTTGGCCGTGTCACTGACGGCTGTTTGGTGGCTGGGAGTTACAGAACGCTGCTGAGGGCTGTTAATATTTCTGTACACAAATGCTATTTCTGGTACTTGAAGAGCTGCAGAATGAAACCCGTTGAGGTTGGCATTTCCCCATGGATGTTTACACGACTGCAGCCCGTGCGGTTTTTTGAACAGCGCTGTTAACCAGGTGTCATTTCCGTGTGATTGCTTGCATTCCTGAGCCGGGTTTTTGAGACAAATAACCCGGGCCACTTCATTGTACTCACATTCCTGAATAAATAAATGATGGAAGCAAAGCGTGTCCACACACTCATTGCTCTGCTTCTGTGTGGGTGACTGCTGCCCTGCCCCTGCCTTTGACCACCCTCAGATGTTTGGTTCGTCGATTTACACCAAATTTGAGAAAGCAGAAGGTCTGAAGTTCGTTAAGCTCCTGATTTTGTGACAGATGAAGGCCGTCAAACGAGAGAGCTCTCGATCGGCGCTCACGGGGGGGAACGGCGGTGCCATGCCGTGGCGGTGCGGGCTGTGAGGCGGGCAGCTCCCCGCACCTCACACACGTTCCTAGCGGACTTTCCCGCGCCGCACACGCCGCCAACGCCTCACGGCAACGGACATCGCAGCGCGCGCACAGCGCCCAGCCCGCCCCCGGCCCGTCCGCGCGTGCGCAGTGCGTTGCGCAGGGCTGGCTCGCTGACGGGCGGCTCCGCCCCGTTGCCGCTACTATGGCTGCGGCCGGCCGGGTGCGGGGCGTCGGTCCGCCGCCTGACCGCGGCGGCTCTTAGCGCTTCCCGCGTCCGCGTTTTGGCCGTCGCGGGGCGGGAGAGCCGGGGAGGGAGGGAACCGCTCCCTCCGGGAGAGCCGCGGCCATGGACGAGCAGAGCGTGGAGGTGAGCGGCGGGCGGCGGTTGCGCTCCGTCAGGGCGCGGCCCAGGTGCGCTGTGCGGGGCGGCGCGCGGCTCCGCGGCGTAACGGGGCTCGGAGAATACGGAGCCGGGACCGCGGGCTGCGGTGCCGTAACGGAGCCGGGTGGCGGGCAGGAGGTGCGGAACCCGGGAAGAGAAAATAATCCAAAGGAGGAGCGGGTCCTTGAAGAAAAGCGTCGCAAAATGGGCGCGAGGTGTGCGGGCGGGATGTTACGGGATGGCGGTGCTGAGCTCTGCGTGCGAAGCAGGCGGTGACAGTAGGAACCGTCTGCCCTTTTCCAGAGCATCGCCGAGGTGTTCCGATGCTTTATTTGTATGGAGAAGCTGCGCGATGCGCGGCTCTGCCCTCACTGCTCCAAGCTGTGCTGCTTCAGCTGCATTCGGGTGAGTTTGCTCCTCGCTGTCGTTAACTTACAAACGTACGAGCTTAGGAGCTGCTCTTCAGCAGGCGGTGTGTTCTGTCTTGCCCTCCCTGTGGGGTTCTGAGCGTTCCCTGTCTCTGCACGGTGCTCTCAGCAGGCCCTGTTGTGTTCAGCAGCCCTCTGCTCTTAAGGCACAGCTGTCTTGTGACCCTTCCTTCAACGTTCCTTCCTCAGCCACTTGTCTTTGTGTGGAACTTTCTGGTGGAGAAACATTCAGAGGTCCCACGTGGGGTTGACCATTGGTCTGCAGGTGTCTAACTTGTGTGCCAATAGGGGAAAATAAGTTATGGCAGGAATTCCTGATCTTTGAAGTATCTTTTGCTTTCTTTTGTTGCGATGTATTTGTTAGCCTTGAGCTCTGGGAACCTGCACCAGGTATGTACGTGGCTGCTGCTGGAACTTTGGGTGCTGCAGAATTCCTCTATTTGTTTTAACTGGATTGGTTTGAGGACTGCAGCTGTCCTGTTTCTAAGATACAAATAGCAGCTTCTTTTGTAACAAGTGGTTGAATAGTTTGATTTCAAATCTCTAAAAAAGGAAAAGTAGAAGACTAATGAAAAGAATTAACTCATAAATAACAATAGATTGTTCTTGCTTGCAGTTCTTTCCCTGCTGTTTCTTTAAAAACTTTCCTTTTTTACTTCGTAGCGTTGGCTGACAGAACAAAGAGCTCAGTGCCCTCACTGTAGGTAAGGGATTTTGAACACTAGGAATACATTATCTGTGTGAATCGAAGGTGGGATGTATTTTCCCCTAAGGAAGGGGAGGTATTTGAGAAAACAGCCAATCGTTTTTGCAGAACTTCATATTCAGCTTTGAAAGTATTTAATGTGTAATTTTTAAAAGGCTTGTAAGGAGGTAAGTATTTCTGTGTTTTACAGAGGTGTTCATTGAAGCACAGCTGTAGAGATGGCTGAGTAATGGGAGAATTGACATGCTGAGCAATGAAATATCTGCCAAGTGTTATCCAGGCACACGTGACTGTAAGGGTAGTTCTGGTGCCCCTGTGTAGCTGTGGGGTGGTTTGACCTTTCTTCCTCCAGTAAGAGCAAGCCAGCTTAAAACACCGCATCGCTGTGTGTCTGAAACAACTACTGACTTTTTGAGTGATGTGGATTTGGTGAACTGATCTCATGTCAGTGTGCTCTGCTTGCTCCTGCAGCACGGTTCTCGCTGTAACTCTCAGCAATGCTTCTTGCAGAGCCCCACTGCAGCTCCGAGAGCTCGTCAACTGTCGCTGGGCAGAGGAGGTCACGCAGCAGCTCGATACGCTTCAACTGTGCAGCCTCACAAAGCATGAAGAAAATGAGAAAGACAAGTAAATAGAGCATTCCTCACATGAAGGGTTTGCAGTTTGCCTTATGGGAATGAGCTTTTAATTTCATCTTGTTTTTGTTAAGTCAGGGGACAGTTTTCTGATTTAAAGGCTGAATTGTGCCATCGCTTAATGGTCGTAATCAGTGTTGTCTCTGAAAGTTGGAGTTCATTTCTGTCATAGTAGCACATAAAGCTCCTAAACTATACTATTTCTCACTTGGATGAATAGAGCTTAAATGAGAGGAAATGTGAGCAGAAGCATTGAGAAATGGACAGAGACTAATTGTGTGTAATTTCTGCAATACCTGAAACTTGGTGGAGGAGCAGGGGAGACGCACTGGAGGTTTGCCTGGGCTGTGCTGGGCTTGCTGATAGGATTCTGAGCTTGATTCAGGATGGTAACCTGTACCTGCTGAGCATAAATCTTAAATCTGATTTTTATTAATACACTTTTTTTTCTGTGGGATACTTCCTGACAATACTAAGGATGTTTATTTTATAAAAGATCTTTGTTGACTGTTCTTGCGAATCTACGCTAATGCTTCATGCTCTACTGGAGTTCTGGGCTTTATTGTAAGCATTCTCTGTGTTTGATACGTTGTTTTTCTGTTTTGCTTCAGGTGTGAAAATCACCACGAAAAGCTCAGTGTGTTCTGCTGGACCTGTAAGAAATGCATCTGCCACCAGTGTGCGCTCTGGGGAGGAATGGTAAGAGCAGCCTGCTGGAGTGCTGCAGGGTGCTGCAGTGAGGAGTGCCAGCAGCGAGCCCAGCTGCAGTCTGAGGAAATGGAGAAGCTACGGAACTTAATTTGGCTATTGAGTTACCATGCCAGTACTATAGATGTGCATGCTTTTATAACTCAGTGTGAATGTGGGTTTCTTGTGTTTCTAATTAGAGAAGCAAAGTGAAGGAAAAAAAAAAATATATATATATTATTGAAAAATAATGTGAAAAAATAGAGAATATATATATATATATTATTATTATTATTATTTTGAAAGGAGACTAAAATAACAAGGAAGGTAACAAGCTTCAGGATGGGCAAACAGTAGGTGGTGAAGAATTTTATGGGTAAAGGAAGAAATCTTTCTCAGAGTATTTAGATAATGTTATGGAAGCATCCTGGGTAATACTCCTGAATATCTGCACAGGTGTTCTAGCATTGCAGTTCACCACACCGTTTATTTTCCTCTCAGTAGAATATTTCAGGGAGAGACTGCTGCAGTGCCTTGGAATATCGGTGGTTGAATGCTGCTTTTATTTGGGAAGGCTGTTTTAGTAGGAATAATCCTTCTGTCTCTATTTGATTTGTTAGAGCTGCCCAGTGAATAAAGCAGTTTATTTTTGGAGGACTTCTTGACAGGAAGTTTGGATGTTATGAAAGCCAAATTCATGACTTCTTATGAAGGGAAGCGAGAGGCAGACTTCCTACTTGCTGTCTGCTTTGGAACTTTTCCAGAGCGAGTGATACATGAGGAGGCTTTCTTCCCCTCTGTCAGTAATTTAATAGGAGCAGACTGAAGTTAAAATGATATGTTCTAATCTCCTCTCTTGACTTATTTATTATCATTTTTAATAGCATGGAGGACATACTTTTAAGCCACTGGCAGAAATATATGAACAGCACGTCACGAAAGTGAATGAAGAAGTGGCAAAGCTTAGGAGGAGACTCATGGAGCTGATCAGTTTAGTGCAAGAAGTGGTAAGAAATTGACTCAAAATAACACCATGTTTTCCTGCAGTGTGCCATTGTCAGAGGATAATGGAAATAGTATTCAATTTCATATGCTCAGAGATATTTTTGGTGCCTGTGCACAGTTGATTCTGTGAAAGTAAACAGATTATCTCAGAAGTTTTCACTTCTTAGTTGCATTTACACATTCTCAATGTTTTTGCAATTGTCAGACAGAAAGGTGTGTGTTGGCTAGCAGGGAATGTATCTCTTGTGCGTGGTATGTCAAACTAAACTCAAGCAGTTCCTTGAAAGGTTATTTTTATAAACAGTAAAACATAAAACGTGCAGTCTGCTGTGCCAAACCAGCACACAAATGCTTTGTTATAGCAGATCTTATTCCCTTTCCTCTGGGAAATTAAAATACAAGTGTACTTAAATACAGCCTGTTTTTGAACAAGTGTCAGTGGTTCCTGGGTGTGCTGCAGCTCAGGCAGCTGTTAGCTGTACTCAGTGGTGGCTTAGCTCTGCTTCAGTGCAGAACTGAGTTCACTTGGAGGTATTTGTAAAGTGTAGAGAAATCCCTTGCAAGAAGAAGGGCACAAGTTCTATCCAACTGTTCCTGTTTCCAACAAAGTAATTCTTTTTTCCTATACTGCTGAGGTTACAGAAGAAGCACTGATAGTTGTATTTTCTAAACTGGATGCTGAATAATCTTTGAATGGTGAATTTGTATTGAGAAAACGTTGCTCAAGTTTGTTGTTAACCTTTGGTTACCCACCAGAGGGCAACACTTCTGTGTTCAGTAGCAGTTGAAGGATGTGTAAAACAACATAATGAAGTACTGAGTTTGGCAACAGTAGCTGTAATGTAGCTCATCTAAAACACATTCCTGTTTTCTTATTCTAAATGTGCACGCTTGAGTTCATTAAGACCAGGATTTTTATTTTTTTTTCTC